AAAATTGAAATTGTTTCTTCAGCCTGTCGGTAAACTGTATATTGTTGGTGCACTACTTACAAATTGTCACACTTGCTTATATGGTAGTGCAACATCAGATTATTTTAATTGTTTACCCCCCAAATTGGACGAATACTTAGAATGTAATCAATAAATAAATAAAGAATTTTTTCAATTTTATAATAAAAATTTTTATTCAATTTTGTAACAATTTTTCTTTAATTTTTATTCAAAGTTTTTAAAAGTATTTGTAATAACACTTCTCTTTCTTTCCTCTCTAAATCAGATTTCTCTCTCTCTCTCTAGGTTCAGTCTTGCTTCTCTCTCTCTTTTCTCTAAATCAAATTTTGCTTTTTCAAAATCTAATTTTTCTTGTTCCAGTTTCAGTCGTTCTTTATTTAAATGTAATTCTTCTTGTTTCAACTGATTCTCTTTGTCTTGCTTGCTTTGTAAGTATGAGAGAAGAAGGTTTTTTTTACTTTTTTGGTGACATTGGTATCTTCATCTAAAAATAATTAGAAATGTATAACTATTATACAATTGTCATAATAAGTATAATGTAAATAATTTTTAAGTTTTTATATTTACCAGATGGAAACTTAGGAGATGATACTCTTAAAGATGTCATTGCTGCATCCCTGACTTGCTGCCCAGCAATGGCTTGTGGTGATGATTTCTCAGATGTTATCTGGGCCTCATATTTTAACTCTTTATTTCTTGTAGAAGTTGATTACGTTCTGTAAATTCCTCTTCTTCGCAAATTGGCTTGATCATTCTGAAAACTATGATAAGCTATTTTATGAACACAGCTATAAAAATTTTATCGACACTTTACATCACTTGCTAAAAAATTGAATAATTAAATAATTTCTGGATTAAAATCGTTTCTTGCTGTACAATGTTATTCATAAATGCTTAAATAATCGTTATTTTAATAAAATAGGTCATAATTTTAACCCCAAACACAAAAAAAATGTAGTAGTTTAAGTCGATCGTATACTTGCCATTCTAGACGAAGCGAACGCCATTATCGACTGTATAGAATTGCCAGATGGCGGCGTTCGGACCATCCGCCGTTCACGTTTTGCGCTGATACGTGCGCCTCAACCTCTCTAATATCTTAAGGTAGGTTTGTTCTTCCACGACATCTACTATCAACAGCGTAATATGTTTGTAAATTTTCTAAAAATTAATTTTCCGAGCTGCTTTCGAATTTACATAAGCCACTACTTCCCTCGACAAAGGTATGAGGTAGTCCTATCGTACGACAGGAGACACAACGCTAATTAAAAATAATTAGTGTTTAATAGTTTTGGTACCGTACGTGTCATCATGGGCGTAGCGAGGGGGGAGCCTGGGTGGGCACGGCCCCTCCCAGGGAACCTGGTGCCCCCCAGGAAATCACAGCCGAAAAAGTGTTGAGTCGATTTGTAAACACCTAAAGCTAAAATAAAAGTTTTGAATACTAAAAAAAAGGTAAACGGCTTGCTTGGTGCCCAATAATGAACAATAATTTGAAATAATTCAATTTTGTGTCAGGTTGGCCTCCACTAGGCCCCCATAACAAAACTCTGGCTACGCCCATGCGTGTCATCCATTGCTAGGGATACTTTTTTTGAAAATGGCTTCGATACACCTCATGATGAAATGACAATGTACAGCATGACTTTTCAGATTTCTTCTTATCTTCTTAAATTTATACTTCACTTCAGAAGGTGCTTGATTTTCATTGCTCGCATACCGGAGAGTGAAAAGTAATTATCGTCATCAAAAACGAACGTTTTGTTTTTTAAAATTTTTTTCGAGCCATCTTCATTGCGTTCGAATTTCAACAAATTTAGCCTTAGAGTACACTGCTAAAAAAGCAGTGCATTCTGGGCCCTCTTCTTTTTTTCTTTTAATCTTTTTAAGTGTCTTACCTACGTACTTTCGATGATAAACGACCTCCACCAGGGCCTGCTCTAGGGGCGAACAACCCGGACATTTGTCCGTGGGGGCGGCAAATCTAAATGGCGGCATTTTGGTTGTGAATGTGACAAAATATTTATAAGTTAAATACTTAATTAATCGAAATTTATATTTGTTTTTTTTTTCTGTGGCTAAAATTACCATGCAATTTACATTTTCGTATTTATTATTTTTGCCTAAATGGTAAGAAGTTATTTGCATTCCTTAATTCTGAAGAAAACAATCATAAAAGAGGGTTTTTGGGCAAAACGGAAAGCGTACGCAACAATGTTAAGTTTTCTCCCAAACCTTAGAATCTCCTTAAGAATACCGCCGATCATACCAATAACAGTAGGTTTTTTTAATTAATTAAATACTCTTTCCGCCCTGTGGACACTAAGAGGGTCTCTTATAGCAGGCCCATTATGGGTTCGGCCAGGCCCACAATGGGGCGACCGGGTGGTGAGGGACGGGGCCCGACATATCCGAACGGACCATCCCCGAAAAATTCCTAGGAATTCCTTGACCCGTTCCGGATTCGATCCCGGGTCCCCCACAGCGGTAGGTTGCCACCTTGACCGATCAGCTCGGTTATCCGACCCCAAATAACAGTAGGTAGTGGGGGAAAGGAGTTTCTCTAAATAAAAATTAAAAAGTTTTTACGTTCCACCACCACGCAAAATCATCTTAATAATTAAGTTTGGCCATTTTGGTGATTGCGTATGAAACTGCCGATCAAGTAAACTCAAAAAAGTTAATAAAAAAGGTTGCAGAACTAAAAGTGTGAAAAAAGTTTCTTTAGATTTTAGTATGGTTGATGTACTTTAGTTTTTATAGAATATAAGTTTTTTGTTTGATTGTACAATACAGTAATACCTCGACTTACGCAAACCCGGAGTTACGCGATTTTCAAATCGCGTCGATTCGTCTTTTGTTTGAGCGTCGCGCAGCTCTCGATTACTCACTCCCCCCACACTATTGTTCAGCTTACCTGTTCGGACGTGTCGCGCGGAATCGACACATAGCTACAATTTATTTTGTGTTATTTATTTCTGTGTTTGTTATATCTACGGAGACTCCAGAGACTATGCGGTGATTTCTTGTAACCGTAAACGAATCAAAAGACGAGATAAGATTAACGAGAACATTTATTAGCTTACATACATTCGACTTGGATTTTACACAAATTGCGAAATTATATCCCGACTTACGCGGTTATCGCTCGGTCCCACCTATCGCGTAAGTTCGGGGTATCACTGTAATACTTTTTTGTAATATAATTAAAAATGCATCTAGTTAACAATTTGTAATTAGGTACAGTTATATTTTAATTTTTACTGTTTTGTACTACTTGATTGTTAATTTTATATTACATGTTTCTCTCTAATTAAATTTAAGGGGGTGGCAATTTGTCTTTTTGTTCGGGGCATCAAAATGCTTGAGTGGGAGCTGCCTCCACCTAACTATATCTTTGGTGTCAAACATTCGTAGCAATGTTTTTCGGTTTTTAGCATTCGTAATAACTGCTTTCTTTCACTTCCTGGCCTTCTTTTCCACGTTCACTCCTTCAAAATATTATATATAGTCGATTTTCCATTGCCTTCGGCTAGAAATTACTCCGCTACCGTTTTTTTTGAGACGTTCGCTTTATTTTTATACATTTGTACAACGTAAAAAAAAAAAAATTCCTGGAAACAACGAGGACAAGGCGACGTTAAGGTCCAATATAAGTAAGGATTTGAAAAAATATAAAGGTAAAAATGGTTTCATATCTGATAAAAAAGCAATAAAAATAAATGAGAAAACTAAAAGGTTAATTAAATTTTTTGATAATAATAAACTTTCTATATTAAAAGCAGATAAATCACATCAATTGGTTATATTTACGAAAGAAGAAGTAAAACAAAAGAAGAATGAAATAGCTATGTCGGNAGAAATCAGCTTGATGTCGCAGGAGTGGTGTACAAGATATCATGTGATTGCTTACAAGCGAAATCATATGTTGGAGAAACAGGACGGAAACTCGAGATACGCCTAAAAGAACATGAGGCGGCGATTCGTTTAAAAAGACAAGAGTCACCATGGTATCAACATTGTGTTACTTATAACTGTAAAATTAATAGAAGTTCGATAAAAATATTGTATAAAATGGAAAATTTGTTTAAAAGACGCGTGGTAGAACATTTATGTATAATAGAATATGCAAATTTACTAAATCAGAATGTCGGTCTAAACGTTGATGCATGCTGGGAAAAGTTCCTTTGTATAAAAAAGGAAACAGGTGTCTAGTTGTTTGATTATCCACTGATGAGGCTGTAACGGCGAAATGCATTTGGAAAACAATTTGAAATTTACGAAAATAAAAGAATTAACCCTGGTTAAAGTAATGTATCTTTGTTGATTTACTGTTTGTCTGCTAATGCAAATTGCTCGAAGTCGGTTTTTGAAAGAGTGTCTTAATTTACTCGTCTTTTATTTTTAAAAATTATATTTTTTTGTACAACGTGTTTTCTTACTATGCTTATCTTTTGAAGAGATTTTTCCGAACTTTTTTTTAAAACTCTTTCCGCCATTTGGGCACTAAGAGCTCTCAGCAAGCCCGTTATGAGTTTGGCCAGGCCCACAATGGGGCGGTCGGATGGTGAAAAACAGAGCCCGACATATCCGGACTGATCACCAGCCGAAAATTTCCTGGAGATTTTTCGACCCGTCCGGATGCGATTTCGGATCCCCAGAGCGGTAGGCTGCCATCTTGACCTCTCGGCCATTCCGAATTGACTGACAAATGTTCGAAAACTTTCGCGTGCTATAACCGAGCATTTGTAATGACGTAATTTTTTGGCGCAAAAATTTTTAAAATGATCTTTTTGAGTACATATTTTTAAATCAAAAAAATTATTTTTAAATTGTAAATTAACATTTTATTTTACATATTTTTTAACTGCAGAGGGCGCTTTTTAAATTTTTAAAGTGTTACGCGGGAACGGTACAATACGTAATGGAGAAGGAAGATAGAGAGTTAGTTTATAAGACGGAGTGAGTAATTTATTATGAATAATAATAATCTTATTGTTCTAATGACAGATTTTAAGTAATAGATAAGTGCATAAATGTAAAGATATTCGTTAAGTACTTTATTAGGAAATCAATGAAACAAAAACTAAATACAAACGAATGGAATTTGCTTTATTGATGGAATAAATTTAACTGGAAGATAATTAAAAGATAACGTTACAGCTGCATGATGATCGCGTATTAGATTATCACTCCTTGAATTTCCAAAATAATGTTTAACACTATTTATTTTTTAAGGTAAATACAGTAGTAAACGAAGACATCGTGTCTATGTTAAAATATAACACTAAATTTTGTTTGAGTCCACAAAAATTTTATTTTCAAAACATGTTTGGAGATTGTTGACAGTGGGGCTGGTTCAGATGTTGGATTTTCAGGCCTCGGAGGGGCCTTGTGGTTTCAAATTTCTAAGAAAATTTAATTTTTTTTTTTCATTCTTTGTCAAGTGTATAACTATATGTTAGAGAGAAACAAATTAAAACTGGAAATGTGTATAAATCATCTCGGTAACCTTAGTTTTATTTCAGTAACATCTTAAAAATCACAAACATTTTTGATCAGGGGTCGTATTCTGGTCACCGTCTCTGGTCTCTCGTCTCTCACAAGCCGGTCACTGATTGGCTAATCATTTGGATTAGCCAATCAGCGACCAGGTTGTGAGAGACCAGAGACGGTGACCAGAATATGGCCCCAGCTTTACTGTTCTGTTTCATGTCAGTTAGAATGTTCTATTGCATTCTATGTTCAATATGAATACAAACTTCAAGTATTTTTGCAATTTACAAAATTTAACTTTACCTAATTAAATTTTACAACTGATGTATTCCATTTAATTTTATATTAACATCCTATGGGTTAATTAATTGGATTATTACAATAATTGTTTGTCGAGGTTATTGTAAAAAAATATTCAAGCATATGATAACGAATTTGCATCTCGTATGTTAATGCACTCTCTCTTCAAGACTGTTTTATATAATTCTAACATCTCTAAAAATTTGGTTTCTTCTCTAATAAAACACTTTTTAATCAATGCTGCTTGTTCCAATTTAGCTTCAATTTCTGGCTTCAAGGACTATATAGATAGCACTGTTGTTTTTTTTCTTTTTCAATATCATATTTGTGTTCTTTAATCCTGCTTCTAAGAGATCTATTTATGGCTCCAATGTGAAATAAACCCTTGTCAAACCTGTCATCCTTTAATGGTATGCTATAAATTCCATAGTTTTGATCTATCTGTAATATCTTTATCATTTCACACATTTGGTATATAATCACTCAATCTGATTCTTATTTTTGTAATGAAAAATCCTGCTACCGAGAATGCCCTTTCCAATTTAATTGATGTGAATGGAATCATGTTTAATGCATTTAAGTGAAGACAGATATTATGTGTTTTTTCACCTGTCGCCTGGAAGATTTCTAGTTCATTTTCGAGATTGTAGTACTGCTTTTGCTTTCTTGTATTCTTGATTTATCTACCTCAGCTGCTTTAATAGAAACATCAAGCCTATAGCCCAATAATTGGCAGTTCGTTTGTCTTTGATCATCAGGTTTATGAAGAAAATCTTCGTACTTACAGACATCGTACGACATGGTGTTACGCGTTATCGAAGCTATTGGGCATGGTTAAAAATTAAGACAGCATAAGCACAATTATTCCAGATATTACAGGTTCCAACAAGTAAAGAATTTTGAGAGTCATGACACAAATAAGCTACATATTAATTATTGGCCATTAGTAACATCCATAATGAGCAAAAATTTAAAAAACTAATAAGTTGGTTTAAAATTAATAAATACAAATGTATGCTGACAGTTTGAGTTAATTATACTTTCTATTTGCAAAATTTCCTCAATCTTAACACAAAATAAGAAAAAAGTGAACTTTTAAGAAATTCGCGGGATTTACTGGGTTTAAAAACTAGACGGGATCCTGTTTGAGAAAACTTAGTATGTACTGTTGAATTTGAAAAAGCGATGTATAGCATAAAATGTGTATTAGTTCTAAACTATTTTTATGATGCAACTCACTAGATCAGGGATGACCAACAGTTTTTGCCTCCGGGCTGAATTGGAAAGAAAACTCTTTTCACGGGCTGAACTAGAGGCTGCCTTAGGAAGATTTTGAAGTGGTACACGATCTCATTGTGGTGTCAACCCGTAGAGACTAAATTGTACATAGAGCTTACAGATACATTTTTCACATTGTCATGCTTTGTCAACATTCTGCGCTGCACTTACTAGATTTGTAATGGAAGGTTGACTCTAGATGCACAGTGAGTTGTTGACCTCTTTTATTTATTTTTTTTTTATGCATCAGAACTTTTCATCAAGCTATTCGGACTTCAGTACCAAAGATTGATCACGGGCCACATAAATTCATTAGATGGGCCATATGTTGGCCATGCCTGCACTAGATCCTATTTCTTTTAATAATAAAAATCTCTTAATGCGCAAAAACATGAAACAGGGTTTTATATATATAAAGTGATTTAAAAGTGAAGGGTAAAGTGATTTAAAATCTAATGCTGTGATATGTTCGTTATCTATTAATGCTGTATTGTTTAGCTTAAGAACTCTATAATTAATAATTTAAAAGAAATTGTGAATTCATGGTCTTGCAATTTTAATATATGTAGTACGATCCAAAAGTTCAGGGACTTGGCTTAAAATTCCTTACCTTAAAAAGTTTATATTGCCGATGCACAACTACCTTCAAAGTAATCACCTTGGGCAACGATACACTTTTGCCAGCACTCGTATAACTTCTGGAAGCACTGCTGGAAGCCATTTTTTGAAACCTTCCGTAAGGCCTTCTGTGATGCTGCTCTCATCTCATTTGATGACACAAAATGGCATCCCTGCAAATGCTTTTTCATTGATGGAAACAAATAAAAGTCACATGGGGCTAAGTCTGATGAATAGGCGGGGTGTGGAAGCACATTAATTTGAGTTTTGGCGAGAAACTGTGTGACCATTTGGGACTGATGTGCATGTGCATTGTCATGCAGAAGGTACCAGTCTCCACTTTGCCAGATCTGTGGCCGTTTACAACGAATGGATTCCCTCAAACGACATAAAATGTCTAGATAATGCTCCTTGTTTACTGTTCTGCCTTCGGGAATAAATTCTGAATGAACAATTCCTTGAGAATCAAAAAACATCTCCATCATGACTTTCCCTTTGCTCAGTGCATGTTAAGATCTTCCATTAAAATACGCTGGCAACTAGTCTTTGATAAGTGAGTAGCTGCAGCAATTTTTTCAAGGGTTTGGCGATGATCTTTGCGAACACATTGAGAGACAAACTCAACATTTTTCTCATTCTATGAAGTCGAAGGTCAGCCAGAGCGTCTGCGGTGGATTCTTGGCCCTCTTTAAAACCATTTGTATACCTTTGATTTTGCCATGGTAAAATCACCATACACCTTTCTTAGCAATTTTAAAGTCTCTGTAGGTGTTTTACCTAAACGCTGACAAAATTTTATGTTGTAGCGCTGTTCTTGAAACTCCATTTTTATTACGTCTCAAAACAAAGGTAACTATCTCCAAAGGAAAACAATAGCGCTCGTGGTTTAATCACATGGGTGAAACCAACCTGAACACGTAGGAATGGTTTGATAGAATCAATTTCATACGCTGTAACTTCAAATACAGCTTTTGTTGTCATACATTACTGCAGTCCCTGAACTTTTGGATCCTACCACGTATTGCACAATACTTCATATTCTGAAGCTGCAAAACACTAAACAGTTATAACACCAATGTGTTATAACTGTTGTGTCAAATGGTATGTCAAATTTAGTGTTTTCACCTGGACAGTCCAGGAATTGACTCGCTGTCCGGGTGGACTATTAATTTTGTCCAGGAATTTCATAGAAATTGTGAAATTACGATGAAACAAAGTTCTTGCAAATATTTTTAGAAATTTACACTATTTTAACAGCAAAAGAACTGCAAGTCTGCCGTGTTAGTCTGTTTACACTGACATGTGGCGTGGAACCTATCAACCTTTTTTTTTATTATTTTTTTTTTGCATGTACAATCGTACATGTCTCCAATATCCAATAAAGCTAAGTCTAAATCATCTGTACCTGTTGTTTCTGAATTTAGATTACTTATGTTACTCCTATGCAACTCCCTAGTCCCTAACTGTAACTGATTTAGAACCGGCATGCACGTTATTCTTTGCATTGTAAAATGGCATTGTGTATGCGTCAGGAACTTCTGTTCGAACAAATCTGGCCTGCTTTCCGGGTCACTGATTTGGAAAAGGTGGCAACACTAGTCAAACTGTAGATGCAAGCATAAGATTTAATTCCATGTCTACTTGGTTTCCAAATCATGTTATAGCAAAAATTTGTTTAGTTAAAATTGTGGCTATATAACATGAAAGCTAGTACTTTCTCCGTTTGCTGATTTGAGTAATTTCAGGAAATATATAATTCTCTGATTTGATTTGATTTAATTTAATAAAAATACATCTATCTTTAACTTTATTCTCTTTATTCTTCTGCTACTAATTAAAATATATATATTATTTACTGTAGAAATGCTTCTGAAGAAATTGTTGAAAATGATAATGTTTCAAATGAAGAAAAACAAGAGCAAGAAGCAAAAATTACAGGTCCTAGTAAGTGATTTAACATGTGATGATTATTATTAGATAATTTTTCAGACAGCAATTGCTTAAAATGTATAGATAGCTTAGGATAGTAATTCTCAAAGAATTTGTTTACTACTGAGTCACAAGTGAACTGTGGAGTAATGTTCCTGTCCACTTCTTATTCTGTAAATCTAAATATGTAAAATTAGTTGTCCTGACTGACTGAGTCACTGATTCATCATCACGCAGAGCAAACCACTGAACCTAAAGAGGTGAAATTTGGTACACAGTTAGGGTACGTCATGTAAACACACACTAAGAAGGGATTTTTCGAAATTCCCCAGTGGGGGGAGAGGGAGAGCATTAAGGCTTAACTGGAAGAACGGCTTCTACTGTACTACTTTAGATATAATTTTTTGTTTTCAACAACATTTAGTCTTCATTAAGTACTTAGGTGTATTAAATTGATAACATTTCAGACATTGTTATAAATATTTTTATATATTTCAATTTTTTAACCAAATGTTTGAAAACCTCCATGGGCAAAGTCGCGGGTAACAGCTAGTATTATCATAGATATGTGCTATAATATTTCGTATATCTGGTAACCTAATGCCCTTATACTGTATTAGGTTACCAGACAGAGCTAGGCAATGCATGAAAATGTTTTTTCCACTGGCTAAAGAGCAAGGATTTGTTGTTTGGAAAAATGACTAGGTCAGTCAAAAACATTATAATATCGTAAACCAGTTCTCCTTATTGTTTCATATTAAATAAAATTATATTGAAAATGCTGGACAAATCTAGTTTATTATTTTAAACTGAAATGAGTTTTTAAAAATGAGTTTGTCATTAAGGCTGAGAAATAGTGGCAATATATTAGATATAATAAGCAACTCATATAATTAAACAATCAAAAAATGTAACTAGAAATGATCTAACAAGGGGAGGGCATAACCTGGAAAATTTACTTTGGGTGAGACTTGGTATATAGGTAGTACTTCTTTAGAGTGTTCAACCCTCAATAAGAAAGTGCAATGGCCAGCCAATTTTGAGAAAAAAAACCCTTTAAAAATTCAAGCTCAGCTTTTGTACTAATAAGTTTTTCTAGGTTGGCAGCCTCTCAGCAGCTCAGTCAATAGTGTTCTTGGTTACTGCCATTTCATCCAAAAAAAAAATGTTTAATACATATTACATGTCATTTTAATTATAATAATACAAAATAATTAATTAGTATATTAATAATAATAGTTATAAATGGCTATTATAGGAAGTAAAACATTTAGATTGTGTTATTTGTTACTTTTACATATATTTTTTATTACATATAAAACCTGAATGATAATTATCATAGAAGCATGGTAAACAATACATTTTTTGGCATCTAGCACAACAAATAAACGACAAATGCTTACAAGAGTAATGTTCATTCAGAGGATCAGTTGGAAAACAAACTTCATTCACATTCATGAATATTTTTCTGTCTTCAGCATACCAAGCATATCTAATCATTTTATTAAAAATCGGCAATGACAATGATGAACTATTGATTGTATTTTAATACACTCTTTTTGAGAATTTATTTCTTGATTTTGTTCGATTAAATAAGCAGAATTTTGAAAATTTTTGATTAGATTTTTTATCTGTCTATAAAAATAGACATCACAAGGTTGAACGAGAGGAGTACACTTTGGAGGAATCAATTTAACGTACAAGTAGGTAATTCATTGTCATCGTATAATTCAGGTTTTATTTGTCCTCCCCAAGAGTCGATAAGTAGAAGAAACTGTTCTTTTCCCACGTAAGGTTTTAAACAGTTTTGAAGGAATTCAATATATAATTCTGTCATAATCTTTCCGGACTTTGAGATGATGATATAATATTTTTATATTTTTGTGCGTATTCTTCCACCGTTTTCTGCACTCTTGAACCAAATTTACTGGTTGGTTCTTGAAGACATACAAATACCTGAGGTAATAGTTTTCCAGATAAGGTGAGTGCATATTGTGCTGTATATGAATGTGTCACTTATTCATATTGTGTCATTTAACAAATACAGTTTTGCTACTTTTTCTGCAAGAGTCCTATTAAAAGTAGATTGGTACTGGCACCCTAAAAATAATAATAGCATGAGTTATATAAAATGGCACTCTAAAAACAATAATAGCATGAGATATATAAAATGGATAAGTGTACAATTAAAATTGAGCATAATTTTAAGTTTTGTTATATCAACATACCTGTCTGGTCAGTATCAATGATGAAGTTTTTATTAAATGTAGGTATTAATTGTGCCTGCTTCTGAAAGGTTGCTGCAGAATCCAAAAATTGTTCTGAAGTTGCTGTTTCCTTTTGCAAAACAAATTTTATTATTTTTTGTTGACGTATGTTATTAGTGCTTTTAAATTTCTTCCCATTGTTCAGAAGCTTTAAATTCAAAATTTCCAAACTGTCCAGCAGCAGATAGAGCCCACTGCTGCAAGTTTCTAGTAGTTGCTTGTTGTTAATTCTGTCTGGCTTCAACAAAATGATCATGTGTCCAAGAATCAATAATTGCATATTTATCAAACTTATTACCTCCTTTTTTTTATTTCTTCTTCCCATTTGGATAAATACTCTTTTTTTTTTTTTTTTTTTTTTTTTTTATCAACTACATCCATTTTTTTGCAATGTTTTCAAATTCCATATAGGATGTTTTTTTGCAATGTTAACGATTTTGATTTTATAATCCAAAGGAATATGTTCTACTTCCCTTTTTTTCTTTTCTTCAGGCTCATACTCATCGGATGAGATACCAGCTTTAACTTTCTCAAAAATACTTCTTTACGTACTTCATTAGCATGAATAAGCTCTTTATTGCTTACAAAACTTTTTTCAGTTAACATATGCACAGTATTTTTGTAAATTTCCTCACACATCAACATAGCTTCATCAGAAATTGAAGCAGAACATTCCAATGCAATTAAATTATTTTCAGCAAGTAAACTTTTACAGTATTCAAATGCATCTGTTAATTTCACTTTTAAACTATCACTATTTATCGATTCTTGAGCAGTTTTATAATCAACTGCTGGTAGACTGATAGTATCTTCATTCACAGACATTTTACTGTAAAATATTGAAACTATTTGTATTATGGAGTGATATATCATGGAACACTATGATCTCTGTGAAATCCAAAAGTAAACTGACACGTTGTCTCCGAATTTGTAAATTAATAACAGTAGTAACCTTCGAAAAATTTGATACAATAGAATAAAAAACAAAAACTGTTGTTCCATTGGTCCGTTTATAGTAAGGAACCTTCTTTGTATTCACCTTTTTTGTCAATAAAATAATATCTGCTCTCTAGTATCCACATAAATTTTGTCAGGTCAACACTGGTTTTGCAGAGTTCAATTGAAAATTTTTTGTCTATTTTTATAGAATGTTGTAAAATTTGTAAATATATTTAACTATGTAAATGATAAAAATAATTATAATAACTAATTATTTATAACTGTTATTAATAATATACTTATCATTTTGTATTATTATATAAAATTTTAATATTTATAATATACTAGCTGCAAGGACCCGCTTCGCTGGGTTTTTATTTGTTCGTACATTTGTATGTAATATAGTTTTTTTATATATATAAAAGACTGTTTTTCTAAGTAATCTAGAATCTAGCTGCAAGGACCCGCTTCGCTGGGTTTTTAAAAAGTAACGATAGTGAAGATTAAGATAATTACATTATAGCCAATCTTACCCGTTTTCACAAAATGCAAGAATTAGGTCTCCCGTTTCCAGACGTTTCCAGAGAATTTTTACATGAGCATAAAAATATGTTCGATTTCCCGCAAAAGCGCAAAAAACCGCCTGTAAATCTTGCATGCCGCTTTATATTAACACTTCCTTTGTTACTCAACACTTCCATTGTTAACATTTCTATTGTTAACACTTCCATTGTTAACACTTCTATTGTTGACACTTCCATTGTTACACATCTTCAAAGTCAACCACTTTCAACCCCATATCTCCCGCACCCTTATAGCTATCGAGACGCAACCACTATAGTGCACGAATGGAGACTTGGGGCTACTACCACATACAAACACCATTCATGTGCGATGTGTAGTTTTGGCTGAAAAGTGAAATATAGGTACACACACGTCCATTTATATATATATATATATATATATAGATTAAAAATACTTATTTTAAAAAATTTTTAGAAAGAAAGAAAGAAAAAAATAATAAATAATAATCGAGACCGAGATTTGAACCCTTAACGACTTGGTACTAGCCAAGAACAGTATCAACTGAGCTGCTCAGAGGCTGCCAAACTAGCAAAACTTATTAATATATAAGCTGAGCTCGAATTTTTAAAGCCTTTTTCTCAAAATTGGCTGGCCATTGCACTTTCTTCTTTTGAGGGTTGAACACACTAAAGGAGTACTACCTATATACCAAGTCTCATCCCAAAGTGAATTTCCCAGGTCATGCTTTCCCTTTGTAAGATATTTTATTATCTGTTTTCAGTTAATTATATTCTTTACAATTGACAGTTGTAAGATATGTAATTTTGGTAAATTTTCTAAAATTTAATACTATTTAAATTAGTTTTTAGTTTTGAGATTGTTTAAAATTTTAAATTGATAATATGTAAATAAATATATGCAGTTAAAGAAAACTTAATTAAGTTAACATGATCACCATGCAACAGAAATCATTTTATATTGAGGAAATTAAAAAAAAAAAAAAGAGCATGTGATGGATGTTTATAGGATAACATTAATATTATTTCAAGAATAATTATTTATTCAATGTTTATTTCAAGATTAATGAAAGAGAAGTTTATTGTAATAAGAAGAAAAAAGATATGATAAAAATTCTGGAATAGTATTGGAAATAAGAATAAGATATAATTGTTTCTAAAATAGTAGAGAGATGGACTAAATTACATCATTAAAAGTTTGGATAAGCTTTTAATATTTTTATTACTTTCACATTCTTATTAATTATTTATTTATTAATTTCCTATT